CTGCTGGTGACTCACCAGCCCTCCCTCCCCCAGGAGCGACACTTGGTTTGCTGCTGATGGTGGGACATCCCCATGAGGTCTCGCAGGTGAGAAAGAGGTTACGGGGCCTGCCTCAGGCAGAGCAAGGGTCCCCCCTCTCCTTCCCTCCGTAAAAACACAGCTCCCTGCTGCAGCCCCCGCCACTGTGGCTCAAAAGAAGGGGATCTGGCACTTGCTCGATTACGTGCTAGGGAACAAGAGAGCGAGCCGGCCAGCTTCCCGCGGGCAGAGCACACGCTGTTAAGACGGCCACGTGGCCCACCCGCTTCTATTCCCACTCTCGGGAGTTCTTCCTACAATTTAAACCACGGCCCATTCTCAGCCCGAGTTGGAGCCCGTTCCCAGAACTGGAAGCAGGAGGACAATCCTGAGCTGTGGAAGTTTTCAAAACAGACCTGAGATATCTGGCGTCTGGAGGTCCGGGGTCATTCCCTCGACCCAGAAGCACTCCACCCACAGCTCCGGCTCAAAAGGCCAGGTTTGAACCCTGGGGGAAGGCCACGCTGCCGGAGGGACTCCGAGGCCCGCTCCCAAGCTGGAGGTGCTCCCCCCGGGGCTGGCTGGCGGGAAGCCCAGCCCCTCCCACCACCCACAGAGCTTGGAGGGGCAGTGGCTTTGGCCTCCGTTTTCAGGAAGGCAGAGGTCAGCTCGGCCTCCTGCCCCGGGATCTGGAGACCAGCCATGCTGGAACATCCAGGCGTCCAAGATGCCCTCGGGCTGGCGGAAGCCCCTGTGCCCTGGGCGGCCCAGCTCTGCGTTCACTGTGGCTGGGGCTTCTGGGCATAGCGCCAACACTTGGCTCGCCACAGAAAGGGCAACAGGAGGGACAATGGGATCTAGTGGCACTCCGGGGCAGAGGCCCAGGATGATCCTGCCTGTGCAGCCCCGAGTCTTTCAGTCTATTGGAATAATCATGACCACAATGCACCGATGATAGCAGCCAACATTCAGTGCCTCCTAAGCTCTTACTCATTCCTCACAAAAACACTATGATGTAGGTGCTATAATTAGCCTCATTGAATAGGTGAAGAAAAGGCTCAGAGAGGTTAAGCAACTTCCCCAAGGTCACACAGCTAGCGAAGGCTGGATCTGGGATTTGAACCCAGGCAATCTGCCCACCCAAAATCTGAATTTCTTTTCCCTCCTGGGGTCCTATGCCTTTAAGATCTGATCAGATGGGTCCGAGTTCCTGCGGCCACAGGTAGCTCTGGATGCTGGCCAGCACTACATACCATTATTCTAGGACCCACAAAGTGAGACACAGGTCACCCACGAGTCCCCCAGGCTGAAAGCGCCTGTCTTCACTGCACGCAGGGTAAACACGTGTCATTGAGGTGACAGCCCCCCGTCAGAAGGATGGGCAAGGGCTATGATCCCCTTTGCAGGCTAAAAGTCAAACTTAGAGGATTTGCCCAGATCATCAAATTAGCAGGTGGCAGAAGCAGGCTCAAACTCCAGCCTTCTGCTCACTGTTTTAAAATGGAACTATTATTCACGCAACAAGCATGTATTGGGAGCCCACCACGTACCTGGTGGTGATACACAGATGAGTCAGGCAGGCCCGCGTCCCCTGGGAGCAGCCGGGTCCGTGAAGAACACGGGTGGCTACATAAGCAAACATGACATGAGGGCATGCATGCTGTGAGAACACAGAGGGAGGTGTGAGCAGCCCCGCAGGGGCATCAGAGGCTTCACGGAGGAAGTGACATCTGAGCTGGGTCTGGAAGGGGAGGGCGGGAGAACAGGCGGTTTGGCAGGAGAGCCAGGGGACGGGGCGTGCTCAGAGCACCGCAGTGCAAGTGTTGTGAGTAGGGTGTGTGCTGGGCAGGGCCTGGGGCTGGGCCAGACGCTTCATGGGCCTTGCTCATGGGCCTTGCTCGGAAGCTTGCACGTTGTCCCAGAGCCCGAGGGGAGGGGTAGGAGGCTTTTAAGGAGGAACATACTGAAACCTGCCTCTGGAAGAAACACATTCCACAGTCAGAAGATGGGTTAGAAGGGAGGCAAAGAGGGGGCACCCGAGTGGCTCAGTCACTGAGCGTCTGCCTTCAGCTCAGGTCATGATCCAGGGTCCTGGGATCGAGCCCCGCATCGGGTTCCTTGCTCAACAGGAAGCCTGCTTCCCCCTCTCCCACTCCCCCTGCTTGTATGCTTTCTCTCTGACAAATAAATAAATAAAATCTTAAAAAAAAGGGGGGGGCACCTGGGTGGCTCAGTTGGTTAAGCGACTGCCTTTGGCTCAGGTCATGATCCTGGAGTCCTGGGATCGAGTCCCACATCGGGCTCCCTGCTCGGCAGGGAGTCTGCTTCTCCCTCTGACCCTCCTCCCTCTCATGCTCTCTGTCTCTCATTCTCTCTCTCTCAAATAAATAAATAAAATCTTTAAAAAAAAAAAAAAAGGAAGGAAGAGGCAAAGGGGTAGATCCCTGGTGAGAAACAAGGGTCTGGACCGAGGCACCAACAGGCTGGTGAGCAGATAAGCGAGTGGGGGCTCTCCAGAAGTAGAATCACCAAGCCTGGCCCCAGGCTGGGGGATTGGGAGCCCCCAGCTTGAGCAGAGTGGACACTGCTTCCCCTGATGTGCGTGGGTCACTGTTGGAGGAGCATGTTTTCGGGGTGAGGGCAATGGCCCCCTGGGAGAGCCACATCTCTCCACAGTAACAATGTAACAATGTGGAAATGTGTCCAGGCAGTGGGAATACGGGCAGGAGAGAATAAGAGTGGCCAGCAGACCCCCGGGTCACGGGCGGCACACGGAGCCCCTGGCGGATATGCAATCCCACCGAGAAGAAGACTGGGGGGTGGGCACAGGATGGGGAGAAAACCCAGAGCGGACAGTGGGACGCAGAAGCAGAAGCAGAGAGGAGAGACCAGAGAAGGCGGCGTCGGGCAAACTTGCTGATGATGATCTCAGTGACGTGAACTGAAGCCTTTCTTTACTCTTCTCCCATAGCACCTGTCCTGGCCTGATGCTCTGCTGTCATTGTTTACCTGCGTGTTCTTGCTTCCCCTGCGACAGGGCCCTCGTATGGCGTGCAGATGGTACTCCCAGCAGTCAGAACAGTGCCCAGTTCGTAAACGGTGCCCAATAAATATGTGTCGAAGGGCCAGCTGAATGAGCCAGATTTCAAGGAGCTAGAGAGCTTAGAAACGCAGCTAGATGTTTCTTTCAAGTTTGGTAATGGAAGGAGAAAGAAATACTTATCAAGGGCCTAGAGCCTCTTCCCCAAGATAAAACCCCGGGCCTAGATGGTTTCACGGGTGAATTCTGCCAAACATTCAAGGTAGAATAATACCAAATCCATACAATAAACACCTCCATAAAATCGAAGAGTAGGGAGCCTCCCCCTCCCCCCCCGCCCACACCCACACACATGCTCTCATTCTATGAGGCCAGCATTATCCTGGTTCCAAAAGCAGGCAAGACATCACAAGAAAAGAAAAATGCAGACCAACGTCCCTCATGTTCACAAGCACAGAAGGTTTTAACAAAATTTTAGCAAATCGAACCCTCAAGAAGTAGAATGTAGGGGTGCCTGGGGGGGGCGCAGTCAGTTGAGTGTCTGACTCTGGTTTTGGCTCGAATGGTGATCTCGGGGTCGTGGGATGGAGCCCCGCATCATGCTCCACACTCAGCTCAGAGTCTGCTTGAGTTTCTCTCTCCCTCTCCCTCTGCCCCTCCCACTCAAGCTCTCTTAAATCTATTTCCCCACCCACTGAACCCTGGTTGCCCTCGTGATTTCTTCTATCTCGGTGCCAATGCTGAGCCGGGGCCTCAAGAGGCCTCACGCACTTCCTCTCTCTCTGTCCCTGCTCAGCTACCCCAAGAACAAGCCCAGCGTGGCTTGCTAGAGGGTAGGAGACTGCACGGAGCCCAGGTGAGCCTTTCCAGCAAAGACCATGCTGGACCAGCCAGCCCCCAGCTGACTCACCAGCTGACCCCAGACCCGTGAGAGAGCCCAGCTGAGCCCAGCCTGCATTGCCCACCCGCAGAATCATGAACTAAACAAGTGTTTTCTGTTTTAAGCCATTACGTTCCAGAATGGTTTGTTACACGGCAAGAGCTAAGTGGTACAGGGGAAATGGTGCTTTAACAGATTCCGTTCTCAAGGACAGAGAGCAGGCCTTACTCATCTTCATAGGCCCAGAGCCCAAGGCTCCTCAGCAAATTTTTGTTGAATGTCTGCTAGTTTGGGCAGCTTTTGCAGAAGAGCTAATAACCGCCATTCTGCCAATGACCAGGCCTGACCCCTCAATTGAAGATCTCACGGCTGGCTGCTGTCATCCAAGGAGCTCCTTGTAATTACACCACCCAGCAAACCCAGACCCCAGCCCAGAGAGGCTTGCTGGTGTCCTTGCAGGCACACATGTCAGCGTGGGGGTGAGGTGGATTTGGATTCAGTGGCTAGGGGTGAAGCAGGTGTCAGATGCAGGGTGTTACCCATCCTCACAGCCAATAGGCTGGGAACGTGTTCTCCTTCACAAAACACTTTGTATCAGTGCCTTTCAAGTAATCCCCAGCAGGTCAATGGCATTCACTAACACAGCCTTATCATCTTTCCTAAGTGACAGGAGATGTCCTTTCTATAAGTGCATTCTGCTGGCAAGTTAGGGACCAGGAATCACTTCCTACAACTTCGCCAGGCCAGACGAGCCTTAAACCATTAGAGGCTACTTCAGGCACCACCCCCGCCCGCTAGGCTTACGTCCGTCCCAAATCCATCACTCCTGTTCCTGCCTTCAGAATCTCAGGGGTATCCGCATACCACCCTTGCTCCTACTGGGTTCCTCAGAAAACCCAGAGTGGACAGTGGGACGCAGATGCAGAAGCAGAGAGGAGAGACCAGAGAAGGTGGCATCGGGCAAACTTGCTTATGACGATCTCAGTGACATGAACTAAAGTCTTTCTTTACTCTTCTCCCATAGCACCTGTCCTGGCCTGATGCTCTGCTGTCGTCGTTTACCTGCGTGTTCTCGCTTCTTTACATCTTTATAAAAGGAGACCCGGGATCAGGACTCACATGGAAAGTCAGCATCACCTGCCATTAATCGAGGGTGCTGGGAAAAAGAAATACAATGAAAACAAAACAACGTGATTAGATGCCCAGCTAGAAACAGCGGCCGCTGAGAGCTCATGACCAAGGCCAACTCTGTCTCTCCTTGCTGCAACAGGATGTCACATGTGTTTGGGAAGTATTAAAGATGCTGCCACATGGGGCGCCTGGGTGGCTCAGTCGTTAAGCGTCTGCCTTCGGCTCGGGTCATGATCCCAGGGTCCTGGGATCGAGCCCCGCATCGGGCTCCCTGCTCAGCAGGAAGCCTGCTTCTCCCTCTGACCCTCCCCCTGCTTGTGTTCCCTCTCTCGTTGTGTTTCTCTCTGTCAAATAAATAAATCTTTAAAAAAAAAAAAGATGCTGCCACAGAACTGAGACTTTCTCCCTGTAAGGTTGGAAGGGAACGCAAAAGGGAATGACTTTAAAGGGGTTCTATTTTATGTCATGCTGGGTATCTATCTTACCTAAAATAGCTGTGATCATCAGTTGTATGAGTCAACTTGGTTGAGCCACCGTATTTCTGTGAGGGTGTTCTTTAGAAGCGATTAACATTTAAATTGGTGGGCTTTGAGAAAAGTGGATTACCCTCCCTCGTGTGAGTGGCCCTCGTCCCATCAGGTGAAGGCGTGAAGAGAACAGAAAGGCTGACCTTCTCCAAGCAAGAAGGAATGCAGCCCGTGGATGGCCTTCAGACTCGAACTGCAGCATCAGCTCTTCCCCGGGTCTCCTGCCCACCAGCCCGCCCTGCAGACTTTGCACTCACCAGCCTCCATAACTAGGTAAAACAATTCCTTAAAATAAATCTCTCTCTACATACACACCTCCTGAACTGGTTCTGCTTCTTGGAAAACCCTGACCAACACAGCATCTCTCCACCAGGGTTCCCCACCCATACAGAGTCACTAACCTGAGAGCTGGCGGGTCACGCCCCTTAACTGGGGGGTCGGGGGGTGGGGTGGGGGAAAGACAGGAAGAAATTCCCTCCGTAAAACACTCAAGATCAGGGCAGACGCTGAGCCAGCTGGGGAGCCATTGCCATGAACTTGGAATTGCAGGGTACCATTTCTCCGCCAGGATGCCCGGTGAAGTTGGGGGGGGAGGATGGGCTGTGAAGGAAAGGCTATCCCCCAAATCCCTTGCCCTTTGGACTGGGGCACCTCTGATGATGTGGCGTCTGCAGCTATGACCCTGTTGAGCCATGGAAGTGGGAAAGCGACCCCACACAATGAGAATCGCGAACTCATGCTGTCTCAGCCGAAAGGCGCTGTGTGATCATGCAGAGCCACCCCTGCCCGAAGCCTCCGCCTGCATTATTTTCCCAGCACCCGGTTTCCATCTGTATGTGCCCCGGGACCGGGGACCTCACCGCTTCCTGACCCCGCATCTAATTATCGGGCCCTACATTTCAGAACAAGGGTTTCTAAGACTCTATTTGCCTGTCACCTTCTCAAGTACCACCGTGGGATTCTACTGCGTATCAGTCTTTAAATAAACCCGTTCTCTAACAGAAATACGCATATTTTTAAAAGAAATCTTTTGGCTCCCTGGAAGCGGAAAATCAGCATCATTGGCCATAAATAGAGACTGATTGTGAAAATAAACACCCCCTCCCCCAAAAAAGTCCACAAGTCCTGGCTCAGTGCTGTTGTCTGTCAAAGGGCTGAGCCGGAGACCCACTCTGTCTGGTTGAAGAAGGCAAACTAAGTCGGAAAGGCATGAAACATGTCAGCACCAGCTAACATTTGCCTGCGGTGGAATCAGAACCATTGAAAGAGAACTGAAAAGGGGACCAGTTTCTCAAAAAGTGGCTTAATGCCATTTAATGTTGTGTCCAGAGTCACCCAAAGTCACTCCAGCATCATGCAGAAAACAACACCTTTCATTGATTGCAGTTTTCCCTCGAGCAGCCCCCACCCAGGGGGCTGCAGAGCATGTGGCCCCCCCTTCCTTCCACACACGCCCCCCACCGCCCACTCCGCTGGACCAGCCAGTCCCAGAACCTTTGATGGGTCCTCACTTAGACCCAGAGGCCCCAGCCCCCAGGAACCTGCTCGAGAATCGATAGGAGCCTCACCAGCAGAAGCTTCCAAGGAGCAAGTGAGCTGGTGGGGACATGACAAGGGGCAGCCACTTGGCACAAGAGTCTGGCCGCTCTTCAAGCAACTACGGTTACCGTAGGACCCAGCAATTCCACTCCTAGGGATTTACCCAAGAGAAAGGAAAACACATGTCCAGATATGTACGGGAATGTTGATGGCAGCATTATTCTCAACGGCCAAGAGATGGAAACAGCCCATGTATCCCCCAACTCATGAATGGATAAACAAAATGCGGTCTGTCCATTCAGGAGAATATTCTTAGGCCATGAAAAGGAAGGAAGCCCTGACTCCTGCTATCACGTGGATGAGCCTTGAATATATTACCTGAGGGTAAAAAATCCAGACACGAAAGGCCACATAGCATATGATCCCACTTATAGGCAAGGTCCAGAATAGGCAGATCTGTAGAGATCGAATGCGCATTAGTGGCTGAGTTCACTGGGGGCTGGGATTCCAACATCTCTACCCTCTGACCCCACAAAGACTCCTAAGAGCCATCTGCGGCCCCTGACCTGGGAGTGAGGGTGAAGACTAGAAGATTCTCCAGTAAGAGGGCCTCCAGGCTCTCACTGTCCTCCTCCCAGCTGGGAAATCCCACCTGGCCTCCTGCTTTCGAGGTTGGCCTCCAGGCTTAGAGGACGGGCAGGCCCCTGGGTGCAGGGAAATGCATCTTCCAAGGCTCCTCAGCTCCTGCCTGGAACCTGCCATGAAAGCACCAGGGCCCCACATGGGAGAGGCTGGGCCAGGGCTCAGCCAGGCTCTGGGACACGGCTGGGTGGGTGTCCTGGGGTGAGGTCCAGCAGCCCAGGGGCTGGGAGCATGACTTTCCAGGTGTCTCCAGAGGGGTGAGGGGGTTCTCGAAATTCTCCGGAGCAGGGGAAGCCACATCATTAGCAGCCGATGCCTGTGGCATCTGGGGGATGGGTGGGCATACCACGGAGTAAAGGGCCTCCGGGTGCAAGGGCACCACTGCCTCATTCCTGCCCTGTGCGTGCACCACCTGTTCTCCACGTGGCCCCTGTCTGTACGACAACTAGCTTAAATCGGTTAGTCTTTAAATGGGGATTACTCCGGGGCGCCTGGGTGGCTCAGTTGGTTGGGCGACTGCCTTCGGCTCAGGTCATGATCCTGGAGTCCCGGGATCGAGCCCCGCATCGGGCTCCCTGCTCGGCGGGGAGCCTGCTTCTCCCTCTGACCCTCTTCCCTCTCATGTGCTCTCTCTCATTCTCGCTCTCTCAAATAAATAAATAAATCTTTAAAATAAAATAAAATAAAATAAATGGGAATTACTCCATAAAATGGAAATCAGTAACCCTTGCCAAGGGATTGACACTTTAGTAATCCACTTTAAAATAAATGTGAGCACACCCCAGTTTGTAACGTCCGCCTGTATGCTATAGAAACCATCTCCAGAGGCCCGCGGGCGTGCAGACCACACTCTGGGCGTGGCGGTGATGAAGCCGCTTTCAGGCTCTGGCCTAGAAGAATGTGACCCGTCCCACTGATATAAATGGATGCTGACTGTGACCCCCGGGCCTGACCCGGCTCCAGACAGAGTCAGCTGCAGGAGGGGAAGAGGGCAGCTGCCCATCCCCAGTTATCTTGCACACTCTCCCAAATCTCTCCCCTCCGTTCTCACCTCCTGCAGCCTCCAGCTGGCTCCTCACCCACCCGCCGGGGGCCTCCTTCTGGGACTCCTCCCCCGGGGCCGGCTGAAAAGCAGAGCCCAGGACACCAGGTGCCTCCCTCTCTCATGGGCCAGGGATTCACCGGGTACCTACTGCGCACTTAGCTCCACGCCGGATGCAGGAGGTGCCCTGGTGAACTCAACAGATGGGGATCCCTGCATCCACCAGCCCTTGCCTCCCTCAAGCAGGGGCCTGTCCTTCATGAGACAGGCTGGGGGGGTGGGAAGCTCATGCCCGGGACCCTCGGGGCCAAGAGGGCTGACTTTGGAGGAATAATGCTCGCCTCCCAGACACCCACCAGAGTATCTCTAACAAAGGAAGTTTCCTGGCTCAAAGGCAGGGATGATTTCAAGAAGAGGACGCAGAAGTCTGTTTTTACAATGAGGGACGTGACGGGCATACACCAAATGCAGTAGGGTCTCTGGGGTCCATGAGGCTTGGATTCAAACCCAAACACAGCCACTGGATGGTTTTAAGCAAAAATTCTAAGGCTCTGCTCTTCCATCTATAAACGGGAATAATAATAGTCCCTACCTCATAGGGTTGTTGTTCATTTTAAACGAGATAAAGAATATAAAGCCCGCAACCCAGGAAACTGCTCTGGGCCCTACAAATGCTATAAGAGCAGCAATGCTAATTATTATTCTTGCTCCTAACAACACCGGCAGAATCGAAGTCATTTTCTACTACCCTCAAATTCCAACCTAAAACACAGTTCCATACCTGGGTCCTTGTGTGTCTCTGAATGCTCTTCAAAGCTCCAGGCTCCCATCCCCCACGGAGTCCTGGACACCTTGCTGGGGTTCTCATCATGGTCCTGCCGAGGCCACTGTATCACTGTTGCCCCCTCTGCCGTTCACAGCACCCGGACAGGAAACCCATCACACCCACGAGGCATCCACAGTGGGATGCTCCAACGGGGTGCTCCGTGGGGGCTGGAGGGCACCTCCCGAGCTAAGTCCCCATTACTCCGGCCCCGGGTGACCGCCCAGCCCCCACTCCGCCCCTCTGTCCGCAGAGCCTCCAGCAGGCCACCCAGCTCCTAAAGCTCCCTGCCCCCAAACCTGCAGAACCCGAGCAGCTTGCCGAATTCAGGAAGACCATTTGCCTATTCTTGAACTTCGGGTACGGAGGTAGTTCATGAATCTGTTCTCTTCCTCCGTTCCCGGCTGCACACCCACAACCATCACTGCTTGGGCAAATCCTAGGGACTCTTCCCAGCCCATCTGCGGTCCTAGGGGCTTCAGGAAAGCCTCGCCGGCCGCACGACCATGGGCTTCCCTGAAACCACATCTCTCGACTGTGGTCCTGGCGCGGGCGCGCGCGTGCCCTGGACTCATCATCCCCTGGCCAGACAGCAGCCTCCTTTGAGGAGAGGGAGATCCCCCTCTGCCTGTAGCAGCTCACCGCACAGAGCTGCTAAATAACACCCATCAAGATGCAAGCAGGCTAGCTAGCCTCTCCCTCAGCCTTCCCTGGGTTCAAGCAAGCCACTTCTGTCTACATCTATATACCAACTCCTCCAATCCACAGAATGACGTCCAAGGTCATCCCAGCAGCACACTGACCCTCACTAAAGATGGTGAGACTCCCCGGGAAGCTGAGTGGCTACTCGGTCTTAAGATGAACACAGGGGCTCTTTGCAGAAGAGGAGCTTGGGTGGGGAGCTCACAGATGCTCCGGATCCCTCATGTTGTCAAAAGTGTGAACTGTGTCCATCCCATAAGTTCCGGTTATGCCAACTCCCAAATGTCAGTCACTCCAGGCCTAAGATTTTTGTTCCGGGTCACCTGTGCTTACTCACAAAATCCCTCAATTATTTAAAAAAGTGCTTTAAAGTTGGGGCGCCTGGGTGGCTCAGTCGGTTGGGCGTCCGACTCTTGATCTCAGCCCAGGTCTTGATCTCAGGGTTGTGAGTTCAAGCCCCTTGCTGGGCTCCAAGCTGGGCGTGAAGCGTACTTTAAAAAAAAAAAAAAAAGGATTAAAAAAAAAACTTTTAAAGTTGAAAGCATACACTTTAGTTTCACTCTACCCAATAGTATTGGTGAAATTATGGGTCTGGGTGCAGTTTATGTTTTTTTGAAATACCAACTGAGAAAAAGACATTAATTACTCTTTCCTGTTTTATGTTCAGCTGCAGAAACTTTTAAAATTATCTTGCGTGCTACCCATGACAACCCAATGTGGGACGCATTCATGAAAACAAGATTGATGAGACGACTTTGGGTCGTATTTATTCACTGCAAATTTTTTTAATTAATTTTTTTTTATTATTAAGGAAAGGCCAGTTGCCAGATAAGCTGGTGATCAGAAGTGTCAGAACAAGAAATCTTCAAAGTGCCTTCTCTATGGGGAAGCAGTCTGCACTGAAGGACTTAATTTGTCCATCCCTCCATTCTGGGCCATAGCTAGTTAATTCACACTTATATTTCTCAAGATCATCGTGATGCTGAACGTCACTCTGCGGGACCCTTCCTCCAGCTCTAGACCTAGGAATGCTAAGAAGCTTCTAGAAGCTGAGGTCATCCAACCTGTCCACAGAGGGTGGGAGTGCAGGCAATCTCTTCACCCTCAGTTCCCTTTTAGATCAACAGAAGCCCTGCTTCCCAAGGACGGTGAGGGCTGAAGGAATTCAATTATTCTGGTTAATGGCTACTCATTAGGCAGTGGAGATACCCATGTGAACAAAACCAACAGTGTCTTCAGATGGGAAGGAGGGAGGGGCTCATTTAGCCAATTCTCCTCCAGCCCCCCTCCTCCCTACATCCTGCCCCAGGATGGGCCAACATCCCCAGAGTCCGACAGCTGTGCCTCACAGTGACCCAGTGCCAAGTGGGAGTGACCCATGCCTAAGCATGGCTTCCTGCCCACCTTGCTCCCATCAGTACGTAAGCGTGGAAACCCAGCATCCTAGATGGATGACATGCCCTAAGGGGACCCTGACCCTGGGGACCTCGCCTGGAACCCCAATGACCACTCCTAAGCCACTGGGCTCCTGGGCAGTGAGTCCCTAGATCCAGATCTAGTCCTGGTTCTGCTGCCAACCTGCTGGGTGATGTTGGGTGAGTTAAACCCCACCCCCCCTGCCGCGTGTCCCTCATTGTCACACTGGGACTTTCTAAGGTTCTCATGCCCTTGAAATTCCCCAATCTTGGCCCATGGCTGCCCTGAATGCAGAGAGCTCTCACCCCCAGGCCTCACCCCAGGCCTTCACCCAAGGTCTGGCTGCCTGGAAGAGCCCAAGTGACTGGAACAGAGCTTCACTGGTTCTTCTGCGTCAGAGACAGCCCCCCCCCAGCCCCCACTCTGGGTATCGGGTTACTAGCCCAGCACTCTCTCGCTGGGTGGCAGCTCTGTCTCCGATATTTTTAGACACCCCCTTGGCCTGTCCCTAACGAAAGCCAGATGCATCTGAAGAGGAGTCCACTCTCTGCCCTCTTTGGGTAACTCCTGCACAAAGCCAGACTCCATCCCTCCTGGGGCAAGCAGGGGAGCCTCCTCTTCCTGCCACGCCCACCCCAACCCCTATTCCTTCCCTGGACAAGCTGAAGCCAACCTCCAAGACTCGGGCCTCCGTGGCCTGTGCAGAGGCCCCACCTGTCCACGGAGCCGGGCAGCAGCCACAAATTACAACACACACACACACACACACTATCTGCCCAAGGACAGTGGCTGGACTCTTCCTCCCAAACATGCCAACCAGCCAGCAATCCAACGCCATCCCATCTGTCCTGGAAAGGCATTTATATATTTTTGTCTCAACAACCTTCCCTCCCTGGTTGTGTCCGGCTGAGCCTACTACGACAAAGGGCTGGCCTCTGCTGGGCTCCCCATCCACCTCGAAGGTGGCAGAGAGGGACAAGAGAGTCCCCCGGGGATGAGAAATTGACCAGTGGAGTCAACTGATGAATCACCTGTTGCCACAAAATGGAGAGTCTGTACGCACACGCACGCGGTTTTAGCTCCTGCCTGGAATATTACATGCGAGGCAGAGAAAGGAAACCTAGGTGAAACTTTCACTTCCACTCCAGAAGAAAGGGCCTTATAAAATACCCGTGTGTGCGGGGCGGGGTGACCGAGCGGACATGCCCGGTATGTACAGTTACACCCTGGGGAGCCCTGCTTGCCTCTCCTGAGCCGTGCCATGCACCCGGGGCCACGCCAGCCAGACACGGTGCCACCTCTCCCCTGGGTGGGGCGGTCCAGTGGCCGCCCCAAAGCCTGGCCACCAGGCTGGCCACCTCCATGCCTTCCACCACAAACACCTGTTTAGGTGAATCTCAGTTTCCCCACTTTGGGGACAGAGGAGGCTCCAGGCTATGTGGCCTGCTCTCAGACTCTCACTCCCACTCCCCAATTCCTGGCAGGGGTGGAGGCGGCAGATCCCAAGTCCCTCAGTGGGAAAACAGGTTCGGCACCTTCCTGCCACCCCCATGCCCCTCCCTCGGCTGTGGGCTTGGCATCTGCCAAGGCCCCCGTGGGCATCTGGGCCCTGGTTTCTCCAGGAGGGTCTCTCCTGAATTCCAGGAAACCCACCAGGGCATTTCCAGGTGGATATGGAAAGGCTTGCGGTGGGGGGGGGGGGGGGGGGGGAGTCTGATGGGGATTCAAAGTCTGGCTCTTGGCACTTACTGGCTCAGTGAGCTTGAGAAACTGAATGTCTCTGGCCTGCCTCTCCCCACCTGCCACCTGGGAGCGGGGATGGAAGCAGCTGTGTGAGGCTTCCAGAAGGGGAGAGAGTGGGCGCAATGCATACTGCCAGGCACCCTGCAAATGTTCCATGAGCTTTGGTTCTCATCCTGGTCCTTTCCGGACTCCTGGAGAAACCCGAACTCCTCTCCCCTCCTTAGCCTCCTTACACTTTCTTATAGTGAGGCCAAATTCTGGGGACAGGTGACCTGCAGCAGTCAGCAGCCTCTGAGATTCCTTACTAATTCAGACGGAAGCAGAGAGGGGGCTGGAGCCTTTTTTTTTTTAATTGTGGTAAAATATACATAACCTACTATCCATCATTTAACCACCTATAATTGTAGATTTCACATACTTTAAATACATCCAAAATGTCATGTAACCATCATCACTATCTATACCCCAAATGTTTTCGCCCTCCCCAACAAAAACTCCAGACCCAGTAAGCAGTAACTGCCCACCCCCTGCCCCAGTCCCTGGTAACTTGTACTTTCTGCTTCTGTCCCTATGAATTTGCCCCTCCTAGGTAGCATTGGCAGGATCATACAGGATTTGGGCTGCAGGTTTCTCAAGCCCCTCACCCTTCCTCACCCCATCACTTTTCAGGCTGGTCTCTCCACCTGGTACACAGCCAAGGTAAAAGATCACTCCCCTGACCCCACCCCACCCCACCCCACATGCACATCTTTGGAGCCTGGGAGGAGGCAGTGCGCCTTTTCCCAAACCTGAAACTGGGCTGTCTGCCTTGTTCCAAAATCAGGTTTTGGGTTCTGTGGCCTGGACAGAGGGCTTTGCCCTGCAGGGTGTCCCTCCTATCCAGGTACCCTCGACTGGCCCCTGGTCATAATGTCCCCCTGTCAGCCCCAAGTTAGGGCCTCCTTTGGGTGTGTTTAGGACCCTGGAGAGTGTATAGTCCCTCTATACACGAGCTCTGGCCTCCCCTTTCTCTGGAATCCACGGGTGGGGTCCTCAAAGCCCCCCACCCCAACCAGAGTGGGGAGCGAGAAGCCTCATCCCAGCGGCGCCTCCAGGCTCCCCCACCACTCCAGATCTAAGGAAGTTGCTCCTCGTCGCTGGGGGGCGCAACGGAGCCGCCGCCGGGGTCGAGGAGGGGACCCACCGACCCTGGCCTGGGCGCAGCCCGTCCCTCCCGCTCGGTGAGGCGGGGGACGGTGCGCCGAGGCGCCCGAGACCTTCCTGCGACACGGGACGGCCCTGGACTCCGACAGCCCCGGGAGCGCAGTTGGCCAGGGTGAGGGGAGCCGCCCTGACTCCTCCCCAAACTTTTCCCGCCCGCCTCGGCGCAAAAGGCGCAGGAAGCAGTCCGGGGGTGGGGAGGTGGAATTCGGGGTCCGGGGTGAACTCGGCGCAGTGGGGCGGGGGGGGGGGGGAAGTCCGCGCCCTGGTCGTCTGGCTGAGGACCGGTGGGATTTCGGTACGGATGGGCCTCGGCCCCTCCCTGCTCGCCCCACCCAAGGCGAGGACCCCCCTCGGTCCCGTGGGTGCGGGAGCTCGCGGCCCGCTCCCCGGGCGCACGCTGCCCGCAGCCCCGCGACGTGGTCCCGCGACGTGGTCCCGCGCCCCGCGCGCGCCTCCCGGGGAGGGCGAGCCCCACTCACCGGGCGCTGGCGGCTGGACGGACGGACGGGCTGGGGCGCGAGGCGAGGCCGCCGGGCTGTTTTGAAGCTCTGGGCTGGGACTGCGCGCCCTCCCTCCTCCCTCGCGGTGGCGCGGAGCCTCCTCCCCGCGTCCCCTCCTTCCCGGATCCCGCCTCCCGGGCCGTGATGTCAGGGGCCGGGAGAGTGGAGTGGGAGGGACAGCGGCAGGCGGGAGGGGGACGCTGGCGGGAAAGGCCACAGCCCCGGGAGCGCCCCGGCCCCCCGGCCGCCTCCCCGCGCTCCCCCAGCCAAGTTTGGGGCGGAGTCTGTCCCTGGGTCGGGGGAAAAGGGAGAAAAGCGCCGCTCCTTCGAGCCAGGAGTCTCTCCCCCGCGCTCTCCCTGACGGGTTTCCACTCCCTCCCCTCCCCTGTCCCTCGGCTCCCCCTTTCTCCTCTTCCCCTCCTTCCCGTAAGGGTCAAGAACGAGGGTTCTGGAATCCGACTCCCTGCTTTAGAACCCCTTCTCTGGCGCTGTTCTTCAACTTCTTGCTCCTGTCCTTCCCGTTTCCCGCCTCAGTTTCCCCATCTGGAAACTGAGAGGACTCATGTGCTCTGGAGGTTCTTGGGGGGATGGGGGAGGAGGCCAGAGGGACCCAAGCCTCATCTGTGGAGTGGGGGGAGCAGTTAGTATGTGGAAAAATTGAAGAAATTCCAAAACAGGGCCACGGCGGGGGACAGTATAGTTTAAGCTTTTAATTTAACAGGTTAATGCTATTGGCATACACCCCAAAATACAAGGCAGGAGACTGTGCTACGGAAGAGAGAATTAGAAACACTTTTAGGAAATACTAATTTATTGTGCACTAGCTGGTGGGGCCAGAATGCCATGTTTAAATTGTCTGATGCAGGACACCTGGGCAGCTCAGTCAGTTAAGCATCTGCCTTCGGCTCAGGTGATGATCCCAGGGTCCTGGGATCAATCCCCACAAAAGGCTCCTTGCTCAGTGGGGAGCCTGCTTCTCCCTCTGCCTTCGGGTCCCCCTGCTTGTGCTCCCTCTCTCTCTCTCTCTCTCTCTCTCTCTCTCTCGCTGACAAATAAGTAAAATCTTTAAAAATAAATAAATAAAAAATAAATTGTCCCGTGCCTTTTTTCAGTCCTGCTGGGGAGCTCTGCAAGGGGAAAGCCTCCCTGGGTGGAAATTAGAGATCCTTATGATATTTGGGACCCCCTCTAAAGGGCCACCCCCCCCCCAAGATCCTGAGGTTCCCCAGCTGCTTCAGTGGCTGATCTGTTATCTCTCTTTGAATTCTGGAATTTAATGGCTGCTCAAGACCGCCATCCCCCAAGCAGGGGATTTTCTGTCGGGCTGGAGCAAGGACAGGAAGATGTTCATTTGAACTGAGACTCTGCCTTTAAAAGGGAAGGAGGTTGGGGTCTGGCTGCTGCAGAAGAGAGCCAGGTGGGTCCCCCCCCCCCACCAGCAGGGACAGTGGCACCTGCTGTCCCACGGCCAGTGGGAGGACAGAGGGCACTCAGAAGGCTCTCCCAGAATGGACAGCCCAGGGCAGGGGCTGGAACAGGTGGGTTTCTGCCCTTTGCGGAGTGTCTACTGTGTCCCATCACTTTGCAAACATCACCTTCGATATAACACAACAGCCCTGCAAAAGAAGTTGCCTTCATTTCATCCATGAAGAAACTGAAGGTCAGAGAAGCTACTGCTCAAGGGCCCCATGAGACACGTGGAGGGTGGATTTACACCCAGACCGACGGCAGCAAGCCCCACTCTTCTGTTCCCACCACGTCGCTATTTACCAAACGCTGACCACGGTCAAGCCATCATTCCTGCTCTATCGACATGCCACGTGAACTAGCATTCACTTAATTTTTTTCCTTTAAATCGACTCTGTTTATTTAACTATATTTATTTCAAGAGGAAGCCCTATAGCATCACAGGAAACAGGAAACCAGTGCCATTCACCAAAGAGAGAGGACAAACTTAACAGATACAAACACTACCCAAAATAACAAAAACAACAACAACAAAACAGTATACTCTAGCCAGATCCTGTTGCCTGAAAGAGTCTGTGAACCTGAGGTTCGGGATCTATCAGTCAGCCTGGGAGGTGTTAAGGACCCCCTAGCACAGGAGGAGACTCCCCTTGTCATCAGAATCATTGCAAGATCACCAGGAAAGGGAAACTGGCTCTCAATCTGTGATTCAAAGCTAGGCGGTGACTCCTCCCCATATTGTTATCACCTAAACCACCTGCCCTGTGCCTGCTGGTGGGGCGTGCCTCACCCTCGAAGAACCTGGCCAGACAGCAAAGAGCCTCTCCAGGATCCAGAGAAAGGAGTGGATCCATCGCTCCTCTCTATTGTTCCCAGAGCCACTCCAGAGCCCCAGCTCCCCTGACATTCACCTGCTGCCTGTGCCACCTTGTTTGGTTTCTTCAAATACAGTCCTATCACTCCAGTAAGACTTGAGGCAGAAACCTGCCTTTACCCACTTGTGTTTCCACTCCTGGTGTTTCCATAATAAGCTTGAAACCTCAATGTGGTGCAGGGAGGGGGACAGGGGAATAAGAGTGTGCTCAGTTGAGTTCTGGGTCCCAAATCTTTTCCCCCGATAGAGTACCTCCACAGCCCAGCCTCATGGCCAGCAGAGCATGCATTCCCCCTTGACCTTGAGCTAGACCATTGACAGGCTTTGGCCAATGGGATATTAGCAGACAGGACACACACGCAAAGGCTGGGAATGTGCTTGGGCAGTAGGGCTTGCCCTCTTGTGCTCTCGCCATTTCCATAAGCAGAATGTACCTCCAGGAGCCCACTGTTCCCAGAAAAATGAAAGACCTGGGGAGCACAGCTACCCTCGGTGACCTGCAGAACTTCCATCTGGGACGCAGAGCTGCTACAGCCAAGCTGCAGACACGTGAAGAACGAGGAATGCATGTTACTGTTGTGTGCACTGAGGCAACGTGGTTGGTCGTTTCATAGCAGTAACTGGGTGATGAAAGGCTGGGGGTGGGGGTCGGGTGGAGAAGAGAAGGTCGTTGAGAACTCTATCATCTCTTGTGTGTCCTTTCTGGCTGGCATGTTTTAAGCTTCTGCCAGTTGCTTATAACCTGCTTCTGCTGACTCTTTTCTGTTCTTACAAGGAATGACAAGGGGTTGCAGCAGGATAGGTAATGGAGAAGAACATGCGGGCTTTTGTCAAGAAGGATCGAGACCCAGAAGAAAATACCTAAATCCACAAAGTTAGGTTGGGAATGGATCAACTATAAATGTGATCTGACCATCGAAACCTGCTTTTGGTTGGTGGGCCCATTTAATCTTGACAGGTGGCAGGGGGTTCTCTAACTTCCAATGAATAAGTATTTCCTTTGAAAACAAACTGATGGACCATGTGATCTTGCCTCCCAGAGCTCACACCCTTGCATAATCCCCTCCCCTGGAGAGTGGGCAAGACACACAACTGGCTTTTCACAAATACAATAAGACAAACATGAGGGATGTCACTTCCATGAGTAGGTTAGAAGAATTGTGACTGAAGCACGGACCATGTTAGAGAGGGCCACCACAACGAAGAACCCAGTTAAGCCATGCCCAGATCCCTGACCCACAGAGACTGTGAGTTAATACATGTGTGTGGCTTTAGGCTCCTACGTTTTGGAGTAATTCGTCATGCCGGGATAGATAACTAACACGCTAAGAAAAGACTTAATATCCACTGCCTCGGATTTGGAGGGATGGGTTCTAGTTGTAATCTTTGTATCGGTCAGGATAGGCTGGGTGATGCCACAGTAACAAATGATCCCACGATCTCTGGCTTGCAACACAGGTATTGCTATATCTTGATTATATTATATGTCCGTTATGGGATGACTGTGACCACGTGTCTATATTGTTTTTACTTCAGGCTGCAGCTGATGGAGCAGCCTCTATAGGGACCAGTGCTGGTCTCAGGGAGATGGGAAGATAAGGGAACGAAGCACACGCTGGCTATTAAAACCATCTGCATGCTCACATTTCATGGGAAAAGCAAGTCACGAAGCCAAGCAGCAAAAAAAATCTCCCACTGGCCACATTATCCTGGCAAATCACTTTATCTCTCAGGGTCCAACTCTATCTTTGACCTTGGCTGACAGCTCTACATGCCTCTGGAGGTAGGAATGCAGTAAGCACGTCCAGAGAGCTCACAAGTGACATTTTTTCTTGACTCCTCTTCCAGATGTGAAGCAGGATCTTCAGACGAGGAAAATCCTCAGACCCAGGAAACATTCCAAGTATGAAGGTTATAGGCAACTACCGTTGGGTCAACCCCACCACCACCACCACCGCTGACCAGATGCCCTGCCATCAGCACTTCTAGGCATGGCTCAGCAGGCTGCCCATCTTGCCATAAGAGAGACAGCTGGGAAAGCCCCCGGTGCCTGTTCTATGGAGAAGCCAAGGAAGAATTCCTGGAGTGGGATCTGAGAACGACACTCTCTTGAGAGACCATTTCCTCCTTGTCGCCCACCTCCGCAGACCGGGTTGGGGGCGGGATGGAGACAATGGTTTCCAGCAGAGAAACAAGACCCCGTGTCCTCCAATTACAGCTTGGTGCTCTGGATCTCATTGCTCTTCCCCGTCATAAAACATCCCACAAGTCTAAGAGGGATTCACAGTACAAATATTGTCCGTTTGACTTCTGACAGAGAGATTTGACTATCACCGAAGTCGGAGGTCACAGAATTTCCAAACCCCTGGAGATAACGGCCCATAACCGCGTCACAATGGGCTTTCATGTTTTTTAAAGACACCACCTGTGTAATGAATGCAAATGTACGTCGAGCAGAACAAACCTATGGGGGTTGGGTCTGGGTTTTCCCCATAATGGAAATGTCTGGCCCTCAGCCCCAAAACATCTGGCTGCTTGACCGGAGGCCCCAGTTTTCATCAGGTTTGGCACCTGAGGGACAGAGCTTGGGAGCCCTCCCACATTTGAATTCCCCAAGATACAGTCAGAAAGAGTAACAGGAAGTGGAGGGGTGGTTTGCTCTCCACCGCCAGCATCATTACCACCCAAACATCTGGAGCCCAGGTAGGCCCGTGGGATGTTCTTGGCAAATCACAAAAGAAAGCCCTCTGGTGTCTCCCTGCATGGCAAGGCGGGGAGAGGCCCGCTTTCCTGGCCCATCTTCT